TAGTTCCAGTCATGTATTAAAAAACGTTAACCCTACAATATATTTACAATTAATTATAATTGTTAATTAAATTCGTAACATTGTGATTAAGAGTCCAAACCTCATACTCGTTTTTCTAGAAATTAATTTACTACTTAGCTTAATTTAATCATGAAGTCATGGCCGTATTTAAATAATGTATGTGTTCGTTTCGATGTACCCACCAATTATTTCGTTTAATGATCCGATTACAGTATAATTATTAATTAATGATATATTATTATTTTAAAGTTCCAAAAACTATTGGAATTATAAACCTGTTTTTCTGGTAACCCTGTCTACTCTTTTATTCAGTTTTCCTTACATTACTAGGGCTTGATAAGGCATCATACTTATTTTTTATTATTTTCCTTCATAAAATCTTCACCAACAAAACAGTTGTATTAATATGTCTAAATTAAAAAAGAAATTGCTGTTCTTCCCACTTCTAGCGTTAGTTTTATCTTCAAGTAATGGCTGGCAATCCGATTTATTCGATTCCTATGCCAAATCAGCATTATACTTCAAATAAGAACAATCCAAATGCTGGCAAACATTCTATAATATGGGTCTCGGGTTAAGATGTAAATAAGTCATTGTCGCTAGAGAATCCAATTTAAAGGGAAATTTATCATCGCACTTAAATTAATTTCCAACCGCCATTAGTTTTTCATTTTATAGGAGGTCGAGAAAATTGGAGTTTTTGCTGTAACAGTGGCAGAGGGCTCTCATATTAAAACAAAAGCCTTACTTTTTATTAGATAATTGATGTCATTGTCTCGCTTTGATGTTACACGTATCTTTCAGATTAATTTTGTTGTAAAGTCTACAGTCTACAGGATATAAATTAATCAAGCAATTGAAAATATGATTTTTTGCCATTCGTAAACAGTAATTAATTTTTTAAAAGGCTTTTTCTAGATTGTAAAAAAATATCTAGACAGGTATAAGAAAAATAATTTACTAATTACACATTAAGTTGTGCTCTAATTTCATATTTTTTGAGTAATATTTTTAAAATTAATAGCACGTACTACAATATTGAGGTTTTTCATATTTTATTTATGTAACCAATTTCTTTTATAAATATACTGAAAGAAAAACTTCATAACTAATGCTACCCAACCGCGCCAAATTTAATTTTGGATAACATTATTTTTTAAAAGAAAGTAAAGATGCCATTACTGTTGGCTTCTTCAGAAATTCTTTTAGAAGAGAGTGGTTTCAGAAATTAAAGAGAATTGAGATGAAAGGAAGTAACAAAAGTTCAGGAAAAAAATGAGGTACGTAGGTAACATATTATATACTAATTTTGACTTTTTAGGAACTTAAGCTTCCTAATAAATATTTTTATTCCTTTATAAGTGATATTGCTTCCCGTATTGTTGATAATTATTATTACACATCATGGACAAGGACAAATTTCTTTTTTCGTTAGGAGAGGTTGTAAAACACCATTGACCTAGAATTATAACTAGTACTTACAAATATAAATTATTTGATTGCAATAGTCTATAAAAAAAAGTCTATTTTTATGTATGAGAGAGTAATAAAACAGCATTTCTAATGCAAAACTTAGTACGGTCATTTTAAATATTTTTACAGAATAATCTAAATATTTCCTAAAATTGTAATAAATGTACCTGAGCTATTACAAGTTTTGGGTCTTTTATTGGTCCTTTATAAACATAAGCTGTACAGAACAATAGAAAAAGGTTTGGACAGGCCAAAAGCCCTGTGTATTAAAAGATTACATAGCTGTATCTTAAGATTATTTTCAATAAGTACCTATTTGCCAATTTTGTTTTATTTTAATTCCAAGAATTTCTTACAGTAATCGAATTATAAGTAGATAAATACCTTCCCAACAAATTTCACCGAAAATGCGATTATGGGTTTTCCATTTAGTAAGGAGGTCCAAGTTGTGTATTCTTGACACTTTACTAAATGTCGTTTAGTTGCAACTTGCAAGGTGCAGTGTGAATTCTAGTGTGATCATGGAAAATTTGGAAGGGCCGCGTAAACGACAAAAAATCGGTCCTTTAACAGTTAATGAAAAAACATTAATATTTAATTGTTTCAAATCATTTACAGACAAACATTTATGTAAAAGTGTTGATGCCACAGTGGAATTAGTTAGTAGTACGCTTGATGTTGGGAAATCTACGTTTTACAGAGTTGTTAAAGAAGAGAAATGTGGCGAGTTTCAAACAGCACGTAAAGCTCCAGGAAAACCAAAATTTCAATTAGAAAATCTTTTGAAAGAAAGACTTCGAAGGAAAGTGCATGCGTTCTTTTTTAGAAAAGAATTTCCGACAATAGACAAAGTTTTTGCCACAGTTCGAGATGATAAGAATTACCCTGAAATGAGACGAAGCACACTATGGAAACTTTTAAAAGAAATAGGTTTTCTATGGAAAAAGCATTCCAGAAAGTCTATTTTAATAGAAAGAAGCGATATTGTAGTATGGAGAAGAAATTACCTAAGGACTATAAAAGAAATGAGAAACCAAAGAAGAAATATATTTTATTTAGATGAAACATGGATCAACGAGGGATATAAACCAAATAAATTTTGGCAAGATGAAACTGTTACAAGTCGAAGACAGGCTTTTTTAAATAATTTATCTACTGGTTTAAATCCACCATCAGGAAAGGGGCGCAGACTAATAATAGTACACATCGGTAGTTCAAACAGTTTTGTTAAAGATGGTTTATTGACTTTTGAATCTACTCGTACCGGTGACTACCATGAGGACATGAATGCTGATGTCTTTAAAGAGTGGTTCGAACAAATTATAGATCTTCTTCCTCAGAACTGTATAATAGTTATGTATAATGCAAGTTATCACTCGAGACTTATAGAAAAAATGCCCACAACCAAGTGGTTAAAAAAAGATTTACAGAATTGGCTAAATTCAAAGAATATTAAATTCCATCCCGGTTCTGTGAGAAAAGAACTGTATCATTTGTGTTCCCTTCATAAAGAGAAATTCAAAAAATATGAAATTGATGAAATTGCAAAAAATCGTGGGATGACGGTGGTTAGATCACCACCATATCATTGCGAAGTAAACCCGATTGAACTGATATGGGCACAGATAAAGGGAGAAGTTTCAAGAAAAAATAATTCTTTTAAAATGAGTGATGTTAAACAGTTGTTTTTGGAGGCTGTAAATAATGTGAAGCCTAAAAACTGGGAAAAGGCAGTAAATCATACGATTAAAGAAGAAGAGAAAATGTGGAAGTTGGACAATATTACTGATGAAATGATCGAGCCACTCATTGTAAATATTGGTTGCGACAGTTCATTTTCTGATTTCGATTCTGATTTGGATTTGTAGGTAAGAAGTAGTTTTTATATTAAAATTATTATTTATGAACGTAACGTTGTTTAAAAGTCAAATTTTAAACCCTTATACCTACATAACCCGTTTGACACAATGTTCTTAACATACCTTGTGAAAAAATAAAACATTTTAGAAAAAATTGTACTTTTTGACCTTCAGCTGTTTAGAAGTTATAAGCAGGTTAATTAGATGAAAATATAAGTGTATACTCGAGGAATAACTTCAAAAAATATTTTAACTGTCTACTAAAAGAAGTGATACGCCTATGGATTACGAACGCTTTATTATTTTAATAATCTCTCATACTTAAAAATAGACTATAGAAAAATATATTGTTTGTATTTCACGTTATTATTTAATACATTTATGTTTAATATCAAGATTTATTTTACATTCGAGGTTAGAGGTCTCTGTAAGTTTTTACGTACAAAAAAATTCTTTATATAAACATAAACCTCGCCACCTCTGAAACCTTTATCCCTTTTTTATAACTTTTAACTCTGAAATATGATATATTTATAGAAACCCAAATTTTAGTTATACAGTATGATCTATTTTCTAATAAAATAGGTACCTACGGCACTGGCTCACATCTAGGTATTTTTACTGTTATTTTCATCAATCTCCTATCGTGATTTGGTCACGTGGGTTTCGGGTATTGCTGACCCTGTAGATCTAAAATGACTACAATAAACATATATAAAAAGGTGGATATTTGGATGAGTAGGGAATAAAAGGTATCAAATCAAGTAGTTAATAAATATATTTTGAAGTAAATAGTCATTATTTGTATTTCCATTAGGTTTTAAGTGACCAAAAATATAATTTTTAAAGAAACTATATACTAATAAAAAAATAAAAATTATGCTATTTATTTTTATTACATATTAAACAATGCAATAAGCTGTGATAATAATTTAAATGGATAATAATTTTAAATATATTGTACAATAAATTAAATATGGTGTTTCTAATTAACATTAATAATTAGTTTATTAAAACAGAACAAAGATACAATTCTATCGCTATATTTATTATTCCTATGTGGTGTTAATGTTTGCTTAGGCAAATTCAACATTATATTACCTTGGAAATGTAAATATATTTTTTATTGTAATAATTAAGTTTATTAATGATGTGTGGTCCGAAATTGTTTGTTCTATTAATGAGTTATTCTTCAATTTTTAATTTTTTCTTAAAATACAGTATAACAAAAATAAAAGTTATTATTGGTACATTTAATCAACACTTGTTAAATAATTAATTGTTATATTTAAACAGAATTTCTTCCTACATTAACAATTTATACAAAATTCCCTAAAAAATCCCCTTTTTTCTTACCCTAGAAGTAAGACTAGAAAATATGTAAATCTGCTTAAATACCTAAGATGTTTAAGTCGACTAAATGACAATAAGATTAAAAAAAGAGAAAATTATGAAAAATGTATTTTTTTAATTTGGATTTTTCTAGATAGATTTTAGTTCAATATTTATTTCATTTTCAAATGCTGGAGAAGGTACATTTTTATAAATAAATAGAGTTTTTCATAAATATATTGTATTGGAAATGTAAGTAAGGATTAATAATTTGTTAAAAGAAAATTTAATTGTATTTGTAACAGAACGACTTACCTAAAGGATCATAGCACTGCGTTTGAAATGTCGCTCCTTTCGTAGCACTTAGCAATCCCAAAATAGATTGCGGAAACTCCGTTATCAGAAACAACAACAATACAGCTATCAACATTCCTGACGTCCTATCGGCTTGCCGATGCTTCTTCCTCAAGTTTATTATCGGCTTGACATCGTTCATATTGTTCAAGGGTACATTATAGTTCAACAGCACGGTTTTTCTCTTCTTCGTTTCACAAAGAACTAATATAAGCTTACGCGATAGGTAAGTCAATAGAATACATGGTAGGAATTTTATAACGACTGCATATACCCAAAAACTCATTTGGGCATAATTTTGATTCACGTAAGTCATCACGTAGATAATTTGATAAACAATATCTGTCCTATTAGTCACTGTTTTGTTGTCGACGATTTTGTTGTTTGAATCACAAGTTTGATTGTAGGGGATGATCTGGAGGGATTGGTAGAGGGGGAAGCAAATTAAAGGGCAAGCTAGATAGGTTAACACAATTACGTAGAAGGTTTTTTTGGTGTCGCACCAAAAGCGACTGTTCGACGGATTCGTTATAGCTAAATAGCGCCAGATAGCTAAGATTACTGTCAAGCAACAGGATATGAAGTGGAATAATTGGCTGAAAACTGCGTGGAACATCATAAATATAGCCCAAGTATAGGAATAATGGCTTATATACTTCCTATCGTCCAAATTCATGTATCTATGAAAGGAAAACGGGATATACTCCAGCATAACCAACAAATCAGCAACAGCGAGTCCTGTCAGGATCAAATTCGTAGGCCATCGCATTTCCTTGGTGGTTAGCACACAAATGTTCAAAATATTAGCGATGGATCCGAAAACGCACACTAAGAAACTCAAAAGTCCGTGAATTTCCTCGTAGCTGACCTTGAACGAGTCAAGATCGCAATATCGCGACTCGTTCGTGATGTTCATCCTTGGATAATTTTCGCCGACTGTTGTTTATTGTATGGCATTTTGATTCGCGTGTTCTCCCGCGTTTTTGAAGAGCGAGCGACACCCTTGTTGTGGCGACCGCGAGGTTCGGGCAACGTGTGAACGTCGAGCGTCTAAAGTTTTGGTTTAGAAGTGACGTTGAGCGCCGCGGCGCTCGGTAAAAGACGCACGCGTGCGGTGGTAATGAGAGTTGGATGCTGATCGGTTGAAATGTGCAACAAATGCGATGCGGTTCTGATTTGATTGAAACGAACCGCTATTTTGTACGGCTTCGTTAGGAGTGAATGTACCTTGCTAGTTTGTTATTAAGCTATGCTAAGGGTGAATATTCGCTAAAGAAGAAAAATCTGAGTAGGAATAGTAGTGTAGTGACAAAAATAAACCTTTTTGCTTAAAATTGTGAGATCTTTATCTTGTCTCCATTTTATATAATTTGGGACATCCTGTATATACGACCTCTGTAATAGCGGTCTCGAATAAATTTATTATAAGTAAATGTGCCAGGAGTAAAATTAGAATCGTAAAATATATGACACTGGAAGAGCTTTTCCTCAACTTTAATGATTATATAGATATAGATATTCATATTTATTTATTAGAAAAACCACAACTTACAATCTTGTTTAAAAATCGTAATAAATTTTCTTCTCGTCTTCTGATTTTTCGCTATCCTCCTGAAAACATCATTAAGCGAATTTTGTGTGTCAAAAACAACGTCAATATGTTGTGGTTTATATTTATATTAAAATATAATTTTTTAAACATATCAGAATATTCCTTGAATCAAAAGACAAGTGAAGATTCCAAACATAAATAAAAGGTCGACCAAAAATCGGTAGATTCTGAAGAGGTCATTGAAGCCTCGGAAGACGAAGAGAAAATATAATATGATTAATAAACAAGATTGTAAGTTGTAGTTTTCCTAATAAAAAATTATAAATATCCATGTTGAGGGAGGGCTCTTTCAGTGTTAGATATCTTTTCATTCAAATTTTACTCATTGCACAATATTTTTTTTTCAATATTTAATAGGTATTACATTATACAGGGTGATTCAAATTATATAAAACGAGGAGCTGTTAAAGATCTCATAATTAAAAAAAAGGTTCTCATATATTGTATAAAGAACCTTTGAAATGAGATGCAAATTACTGCTGACCCAAAAAATTATTATATTTACAGCAGTATTGAATTACATTGCAAGAAGTAGAAATGAAAAACGTTTAGATGATAACGGGGAGCTAGATAACAATAGAAGGTCGCACTTAGAATATTTTTAAACTTTATTATACAAATGTGTATGAAGTATAATTTATTTTGAATAAATATCTTTTGTAACGCTAAATCAACTATAGGTAGGGTACTGTTCTTAAGAGAATCAATATTCTTTGTGTTATAATTTAAATCAAAGTGTTTATTTACTAAAAATGAGGAAAAGTATAAAATATTGTAAAAAAGTATATAACATGAATGGTAAATACATAAAAGCTAAATAAAGCTAGAGTAGTGATTTAGGTATACGAGGTCTCCCTAAATCATATTTCACATTGGGAAAGGAAAATAAAATTTGACCCACCCTATACATCAAATTTTTATAAATTGTATTTCAAATTTTGAAAGAGCATAAGACACTGAATACATTCATCAAATTTTAATTTTTTCGCATGCCGTTTTACTACCAAAATATTAAATTTGAAGTAACATTCACAAAAACCAATAAAAATTCTATTTTGAAATTAAAATTTGCTACACAGGCCCCTGTGGGTCAAAATTTGGGAAACTAGCTAGCTTAGATGGTAACAATTCAAGTAATTATGTATTCAATCCTTCCGATTCTTCCTTGAGCTTTTTGAGTTTTATTTCATTGTTAAAAAACTTAGGTATAGGTAAAATGTTTCAACATACTCTCGTATAGTAACCGTTACTGTTCCGTGTAACAGTTTATACCTCTATCACCATCCACCTTTACGTTTTTCAGAACAAATACGTAGGAAACAATACCTTGGAGGCTTAAACTCTTATAAATATATATCCTCTTTTTTTCAGAAAGACAGTCGCTACTAAGTTGTCTGATTAATACCTCTCACAAAACCATTGTTGTTTTTTTCACTTTTTATATCAGTATTTTTTGTGGCTTTAAGCGGATTGATAAAACAGACAAAGGTCAGGCAATGAATTCAAAATGTATCAATATGAAACAGCTTATTTTGTTTTTACAAATATGTACTGGAAAGTAATTGGAAAACCGTAACATTTTTAGAGGGCTTTGGGTTTTGATATTGATACGTTTAGGTTCTAGCAAAACGACTGTTAGATAATAATTTAGCTAATAACTGGATTAGTAGAAGAGACCCATTTATGTGGACATCTAGATCTCCAGATTTAACACAATTTGATTTTTTATTATTGGGCAATTTTAAATTGATCTTTCACACCTAATTCGATTCAATATACCAATTATTTGACATTTAGCAATAGATAGAGTAGATCAAAAAAAGATAATATGACAGACAAGCATAATGTAATAATAGATTTCCAGAAATGGTTAAAAAATTGATACTAGAGGTATATTTCTTATCATAAATTAGAAAAACTTACAGAAGATCACTAAAAAACAGTCAAGTATCTCAACAATACGGTTTTATGTCTAATTAATCTATAAATATTAATTTTTTTTACAAGTTTTCAAAAAGCATTTTTGGGTTATCAGAACACTTTGGGGAATTAATGAAACTATTTAAAAAATAAAAAGTTTGTAGCTGTATAATAGAAATGTTTCTAGTAAATAACATGTAAATTCTAGAGTACCGCAAGGATCTAATCTGGAACCTCTCATATTTATTATATTTATAAACGATTTTCCTTCCGTTCTTAAGCACGCGCTGCAGATGAACTCAAAATATACCGAATAAACTCCGATCGAGATTGTGTCATGCTAAAGACCTGTGTGTAACCTACAACAACGTCTTAACATTTGCTACACGCTCATAAAACAGTTTTTACTGCCAATAATATATTGGGATACATAATAAGCAAATTTCACCCATATTAACACTATAAAGTTGCTCTATTTTACTCTAGTAAGATATAAATTAGATATCGCATCAGCTTTTTGATTTTCTGAACACAAAACTAAAAATAAATACGACATATTTTTAATATTTGCAGATTTATCGGACACAATACACACCATTCAATATCTTTTCTGCAATTAATTCTTTTTCAATTATCTTCACCTACGTGACGTAACGGTACAAATTACAAAATCAATTTTTCTTCCCGGTGTTAGCGACAGACGGCGTTTTATTTTAAATCGTTTTATTGCAAACTTGGATTTCTGTAACAGACCACATGTAACTGATAGCGGCTATATAGTTTTATCACGTTTTGGGTTAAACACCGAGTTATGGGCTTTTTTTCACGCTTTATTGCAGAAAAATCCGTTTCGTTAGAACGAAATTGACACTGGGTCTAATCTGTTTTGCTATGATTAACTCTGCGGTGATCAAGTAAAGAAATAAATGTAGAAATACAGACGTAAGTAACAGGTTATTTCAAAAATAAACTGAAATAATTGTTTAGGTAAAATTTGACTGGGCGATTGTAATGAAAGGTGTAGATAGAGGGCGCTTATAGTTTTTCCTTTTATTGGCCTCTTCCTGGTCTCTTCCACATAAATTCTAAAAGCTTTTAGACAAGCGACAATTTTAAATAAAAACTATATAAATTAATGTCATATACTTAAGTTGACAACATGGAAAAAAGCTATTATTGAGTTTGGCAAAAAAATATAACTTTTTTCCTAAAAGTAATGAAATAGTTTTCCATATTATGCCAACTTAAATAGACACACTGTAAATATGTATATACCTGTCAAGTAATTCTAGTTCATTTATATATAAAATGTTGTAATAGGTAAATTATCCTGTAGAATATAGCCCACAAAAGGAAGAGGAAGAAGAAGAAAAAGTAAAATGTTTTAAACACTACCTTGTCCTGATCATCATGTAGTTAAGTTTTCCTGCCAGATATACTTCCTCCAAAAAATATCTTTACTGCAGCTGCAGAAGGTTTTACTTTTGAAATTAAATTTAAAAAATTGTTTAAATTTTTTTTGAAATTTTTGATTTTATACAGCTAGTTTATCAAAGACTGGATTTGATATTCGATTGTCTCTCTCTTCTAAAATATTTTTCTTGTTGTCTGTTTTGATAAAAAAATGTATCTATAATGGTGGCAGTTTTCAGTTTATATTCCAATTAAATAACGAAAAAAAGACCCTTCGAGCTTACATTAATTTGTAATTGGATGAAACAAAAAGGACCTTGTGTATTTTGATGTGATCTTTCCGAAAAAAAGAAAAAAAAGATGTATCAGTTTTTCAATTTTTTTTAAATTAGGAAAAACCGGGTTTTCCGGAATTTTCCATTGTAAAAATGCTAATTATCCGGGCAAGTATCATTCCGATAGTGAAAATAAATGCACCATTCGAAAAAGGAGGTAAAAATGGTTCGGAAATTCATTGCACAGGTAGTTTTAATGGCGAATTTCTCGTCGCCAGAAGTGCTTTTACCAAAAAGTCGTTTTTTCGTTTTTTTGATCAGAACCATGGACATGAAATTTGCGATGAATTTGTGGCGAAATTATAAATGTTAGACATATGTGCCCATGAGAGAAGTTGCGTATTTTTTTGTTGGCTCTCAAATAAAATAAGTCCTGCGGCGAAATCTCACATAATTTTTCGGGAATTCGCAGGAAACCAGAGGCGTAGTTTTTTTTTAATTTTTTTCCCATGTGATTTTTTCCGGGTTTTCCGAAAACATCTAACAAAATAAATATATTTAAAAAAAACTAACTTCGCCATCGAAAAGAGCACAAAAAAATACACAAAAAGGTATACTTTAAAAATGTTAGGAAATTAATCCTAAGCCTGAGTGTAAGTTCCAACTTGGTGATAAGCTTGCTTTTTGTTCGCTAATATCTGGTAATTCTATATTTTGCACAAAACTCAAGAAACGTCTTATAACAAGTCAGTAAAATACAATTTAATAAATTTTAAGTCTAAATTTAGATATGCAAGAAATTTAAAA